TATATGCCCAGTACAGTATATAGAAGATCTTTATATGCCCAGTACCGTATATAGGTTTTTATATGCATAGTACCGTATATAGAAGGTCTTTATATGCATAGTACCGTATATAGAAGGTCTTTATATGCATAGTACCGTATATAGAAGGTCTTTATATGCCCAGTACCGTATATAGAAGGTCTTTATATGCCCAGTACCGTATATAGAAGGTCTTTATATGCCCAGTACAGTATATAGAAGGTCTTTATATGCCCAGTACAGTATATAGAAGGTCTTTATATGCCCAGTACCGTATATAGAAGGTCTTTATATGCATAGTACCGTATATAGAAGGTCTTTATATGCCCAGTACCGTATATAGATAGTCTTTATATGCATAGTACCGTATATAGAAGGTCTTTATATGCCCAGTACAGTATATAGAAGGTCTTTATATGCCCAGTACAGTATATAGAGTACAACACTGGGAAAATCAAGCCCACACATTCCCCACCTGAGCTCTGTTTACTATTAAAAGGCCAACACACATATTGCCCACCTGTTGCACCTGATAAGCTCAGCTACACTGGTATGCACGAGCTCATGGCCCGGCCAGCCAGCCAACAGTCACAGTCTGGTAGATAAGAGAAGCTATGGCCGTAACCCCAGTCATAAGGGGGCCACTGAACTCTTCCACTCACCTGCCCTGCCATCTTGTGGTATTGTTGGCAGTGGTCTGGGACACCTCACTCTCTCCCTTAAGACCTCCTGCGAGTTTTCCAAGGATGAATAAGGAAAACTCGAGTGGTTGAAGATTATACCCGCCATTTCATATACACATAAAGGTTCATAAAATCGTATTTATTTCAATTCTACGTAAAAGACCCTGACAGTTCGAGTCTTATGTTTCCCGTTGTACGTAAATACTTAAGCGGCATGTGATTATTAAGCAGATAATACAATCCCAGCCATGGGTGTTTGTGCAACAGTCGTTAGTAAATATAATAGGATGGCAAGCTTACTGTTGTTGCCATCACGTGATCACACTATTGTTGGGTGGTGGTGGTGTGTTGCCTTAAATGTGAAGATATAAATTATATTATCCGAACATTTGCGGATAATCTCCCGCTTCAAACTAAAAGAGCAACACAGAAGTCACAAGATAAAGCATCAAGTGCCGCAAACAATACCAGTATGGGATGAAACATGAACACACACTGCACGTTGTAAACAGACTGAACATGTTATTATATAAATGGTGAAACACTCCCACCGCAGCAGTCCCGCCACATTCCTCTACGATGTTTGTGTTCAACAAGAGTTCCCTTGGACATTGTTCCAGGATCCCTTAAGTTTAGCATCGAATTCCTCTTGGATGACCAGCGACGCCTACACACAGGATGGACTTAAGTCACCCACTCCCTGCACTGTACGGCTTCCTCACACATATTCCCGAGCTGTGGCACACCTCAACCTCCTGGTCCCTGCACACACACGATATTCTAACACCAAAACCAAACACGGGAACATAACTTCAAAATGCCTGGTTTAAATTACGTAAATACACTTTGGTGATAATAACGGTTAATGCATTGTTACTCTAGCCAGGCCAATGTATTCGGACGCCAGCCCTCACCCGACTGGATCAAAGGTAAACAGTGACTTAACCTGGAGATTGACTTTACACAGGCGGCCTTATACATACCAATCACTGGCCAAAACGAGTGGCTGACATCATCGTCTCCAGCTGGGGGCATGCCGTCAAATACAACACAATAACATTCTATTATAGCAGTCAGAATAAGTGAATGATAACGAATGGTGGCTGAGTGTGTCTGTGTGTGTGTACTAAACTGGTCTCAGACAAGCTGAGCACTTACCAGGATTATCGACGTGATAGCCTACATAAGCACAATAACTTAGTGGGTACCAGTGGTCTAAGTTATGATCATCCACGAACAATTCAACGAAAACAATAAAACTAAATACCACAAACAACTTTGTGTGTCCAACTGCTTCGCTGAACAACATCACCACAATATCCACAGGAGCGTAATGTTAAGTTCTGGCCAAGCCCACCAATTACCTAACAGTCCAAATGGCGTAGTTGACAGCTTTTGTTTTTTATGGCTTCTGATTCCCGCGCAGGTAAATGAAAACCTACTTACATTTATTAGTTAATCCGTAATGCAACTTAAGATAATCTAAATCAAATCAGAGGAGATTATGACAGAGTATTAGTTGTGTTCACTGCAAAGATCTGTGGATACGTTCAACTCCCAGTAGTGGTGAGTGTGGTGGTAGTATTTGGCAGCTTCCAACAGTTGTATGTGAATTTGGATCACCTGAAGTTTCGCCCCCTCGCCCCCCCCCCCTCACTCAGCTTATTTCACCTGATGATTAAACACCGTAACGTTACCTGGAGGTTTGGTTAGTATTTGGGTTAGGTCTGATTCGGTTCGTGTTTAGGTTAGATCAGGTTAGGTTAGGTTAGACCAGGTTAGGCTAGATCAGGTTAGGTTAGGTTAGACCAGGTTAAGCTAGATCAGGTTAGGTTAGGTTAGACCAGGTTAAGCTAGATCAGGTTAGGTTAGGTTTGGTTAGGTTAGATTAGGTTAGCGTTTGGGTGGTTAATTATAAGGTAAAATAAACAGGGTGGCGAATCTTTAGATGATCCGTGAATTCATTCTGGCATCAGTGAGATAAAAAATATAAACAGACCTTGGTGGCTGGTGCGTCTATACCAACCTCTTGAGTGGCCCTGATTCCTTCAACACTTCAAGCCCTCACTTACCACGAGCAGTACTGTATACACGACCTTATCCCGCCCACTCTCCCTCCCCCCATACACACTACCAGCATAATCTAGTCTCTCTCACACACACACACACACACACACACACACACACACACACACTTTCGCCACGTTCAAGCACACAGCCTCGATCACTTGACACCGTGACTGGTTGTAGTGTGCGCTGACTGTGTTTGTTTACATAATGCACCACAACTCTACGTCACTGGAAGTTTGCTTTCTTGAAATTTTCTTCGAGTTAAAATAAAAAAGCATATTTCTTATCATTACTGGCATTAGAAACTTGATTCGTGAGGTAAACTATATTATATCACTAAGGTTGAGATGTTAAAATGTGAATTGTACAAAACCATACGACAATTTACAGCCACCGAGATACGACATATAGAACTAAAAATCAAATAAATATATCGAATAAACTAACAAACGTTATAGGAAAAACTAACCAATAATTACAGTAAGGTGACCACTCCCACGTGAGTTTAGGACATTACCAAGGAAAAAAATAATAACATTAATTCAACAGTACAATCTTATATAAATCCAATGTTGTGTTAAAAATAATTACATACCTTAAATTACGATCGTGTTTATATTAATTTAGTAAACACAGTAAGAGACTTCAGTTATTGTAAATAGGTTAATGCTTCATGCTTAAATTACAGAGCAGATAGACGTTGGGTCAACAATGTGTCTTGGACGTCTCTACTTCGGCCGCTCGGCGTTTTTTTTCGTTATTTTCACGGAGTTTTTCCTAGCGTTTATTTGGGTATTTTCACTGAGTTCTGAATAGCATTTATTTAGGTATTTTCACTGCATTCTACCTACCATTCACCAGACATTCACTCTCTTTGATCTTCCGACAATTTTCTGACCTGTTTTTCCAGTATTTTGGGGAAGAGAAAATTGCATATAAATTATTTCTAATTTACTAACCACTCCACCGCGTTTTATCAATGAATATCACGAGACCGGGGTACTAGGGGGGATGGGGGAACGAGACCAGGGTACTAGGGGGGATGGTGGAACGAGACCAGGGTACTAGGGTGGATGGAGGAACTAGACCAGGGTACTAGGGGACGGGAGACCAGGCGCTAGGGGGGCGAGACCAAGCACGGGCGAGGTTAGGGCGCTATCAGTCAGTCCGGTAACACTTATAGTACAGCCAAGTGATCAGTCACTATTATCAACACAGCTTAACCTAAGATTAACCCTTCTGACCCTAATCTAACCTCACCCCCCTGACATTAAACTAACCTAACACCCTAACGCTGCTCTTCAGATGATCCAAGGACATTGAACAACTGTGAGACGGTGTTATACGCTTGTACCAAATGCCAGCTACGTTAGCTTACGTTAGGTTATGTTAGGTTTGGCTAGATTAAGTTAGATTTACAAGAAGATGTTTAATCACCAGGTAAAATAAGCTGGCGTGCTTAATCTCCAGGTGATCCAACAGGTAATACCCAATTAACCAATCAAATACCTTCCTGACAACAAGAAAACAAGTTTACTCAACCAATCAGAACCCTCGTAATATTAATGCACACCTGTCCTCTACCTACACCTGTACCTCTACCTACACCTGTCGTCTATCTACACCTGTCCTCTACCTACATCTGTTCTCTACCTACACCTGTACCTCTACCTACACCTGTACCTCTACCTACACCTGTCCTCTACCTACACCTGTCCTCTACCTACATCTGTTCTCTACCTACACCTGTCCTCTACCTACACCTGTACCTCTACCTACACCTGTCCTCTACCTACACCTGTACATCTACCTACACCTGTCCTCTACCTACATCTGTCCTCTACCTACACCTGTACCTCTACCTACACCTGTCCTCTACCTACACCTGTCCTCTACCTACACCTGTACCTCTACCTACACCTGTCCTCTACCTACGTACTTTTCATGACGTTTCAAAAATTCATCCGAAATTCCACGCCTCTTTCGGTCAGAAAATACAAAATGAAAAAAAAATCCTTTACATAAATCGTTTTGTTTCATGACTGTATAACCTGTTTTTAACCCCTGAGAATACCCCCACCCCTCCCTCCCTCCCCCGTTTACCATAGTTAAGAATAACACTGTTTTCTATATCCGAGAATAAATTACAAGAGTAAAGTTAAATATACAAAAATAAACTACAAGATAAGAATAACCTACTAAAATAAGAGTTTTTTTTTATTTACTTACACAGTTCATGGAGGGTGGTGGTCAGCCGCTCACTCCACACTCTGAGAATGGAGAAGCTAACGTGAGTGTTGGTAATGATGATGATAATAATAATAATAATAATAATAATAATAATAATAATAATAATAATAATAATAATAATAATAATAAACCAATCGCATCACAACACACCTGTAACACTATACCACAACACACCTGTAACACTGTCCCACAACACACCTGTAACACTCCCACAACACACCTGTAACATTGCACCACAACACGCCGGTAACACTACCACATCACACCTGTAACACTGCACCACAACACACCTGTAGCACTGTGCCACAACACACCTGTAACATTATACCACAACACACCTGTAACACTATATACCACAACACACCTGTAACACTATACCACAACAAACCTGTAACACTATACACCGCAATACACCAAACCTGAAATATCTCACATGTATCACAATGTTATAAATAAAACACGAATTATACCTGTACGTGTCATGTTAATATATACAATACCATAAATATCTCGTATTATTAGAGTAATAAACACAAAACTATTAATATATACATGTCACGGTAATGTTATATATGCACACAACATTTAATTATACTCTATGTCACATTAATGGCGCCAATTTTCAACCATCGATTACGTAACGCCACAACACACTTTCCTGATGTTATCTTAATCACCCAGTTGTTTACATTCATCGCGGGACACAATAACAAACATCACAAAACAACAATATATCACCTTATAACATCGTCAAGAACAGCGAGCTGAGTGTGTGTGTGTGTGTGTGTGTGTGTGAGTGTGTGTGTGTGTGTGTGTGTGTGTGTGTGCCGATAGCTGGTAAACAGGACGTAGTACGCCTCGCTCCTCTCCCCATCCGTTTATAAAAGTTTTCTTCAACAAGTTTACTCAAAGACATTATCCAGAATAGGCCTAATAGGGGTGTACTGGGTGGGGGAGGTGTAATGGGTGGAGGGAGGGGTGTACTGGGTGGGGAGGGTGTAATGGGTGGGGAGGGTGTACAGGTGGAGGAGGGTGATGGGTGGGGAGGGGTGTATGGGTGAGGAGGGGTAGTGGAGGAGGGTGTAATGGGTGGGGAGGGTGTAGGGTGTAATGAGTGTGGGTGGAGGAGGTGTAATGGGTGGAGGAGGGTAGGGGTGGACTGGAGAGGTGTAATGGGTGGAGGGGTGTAATGGGTGGGGAGGGGTGTGGGTGGGGAGGGTGTAATGGGTGGGAGGGGTACTGGTGGGAGTGGTGTAATGGGTGGAGGGAGGGTGTAATGGGAGGGGGTGTAATGGTGGAGGAGGTGTAATGGGTGGGGAGGAGGTGTAATGGGTGGGGGAGGGGTGTACTGGGTGGGGGAGGAGTGTACTGGGTGGGGAGAGGGTGGATTGGGTGGGATATGGATGTGGGTGGGAAGGAGTGTGCCGGACAGGACAGGGATGTGGGTGGAGTGGGGTGGGATAGGGTGGGGAGGGGTAGGGTAGGGTGAGGTGGGGCGAGGTGAGGTGGGGTGAGGTGAGGTGAGGTGGGGTAGGGTAGGGTGGGGTCTGACAGATACAAATGTTGCTTGGGTTACCCTATTCTTGTACAGGAAGGGAAACACATTTTCTCGTGGCAATGGACAAACCTTTGGACACGAAACTACTTTATTATTACACCATATATATCTATTTTTTTTTACTTTATCACACACACAGGAACAAGCAGACAATTAATTACAACCCTAACAGTTTAACTCTCTCTAAAGATGTCATCCCTCAAGTCCTAACTACCAATTAACTCTACAACAACACAATAAGAGTAACACCACTACATGATCGGAGGCCCTGTAGTACTACCGTCAAGCCCCACAGATGGCCACCACTTGTCATCCGTCAGTCACCCACTCACTCATCACACATCCGCCATCCATCACCACAAGTCCACCTCAAAGGGAACTCAACAATCAAAAAGAGACAACTATGATTATTTCCTCTGTGTCTACTGTCCTAAATGAATGAATGAATAGCCGAAGCCGTGCTGTAAGGTGTAATGTAAGTGAAGAATGGGTGCATGAAAGATGTACAAAATACAACTTCTAAACCTGCATCTAAAATTCTAGTGTGAGAGAGAGAGAGAGAGATACTGTCATGATAGCGTTATTCAATACAGACACCCATCAGGTTTTAGGTCTCCCACCTACTGATCCATCCCACTGACCACATCACGGACCCAAATACCTCAGGGACATGACACAATGGCGTTTGACATAGATCGTGAAACACTGTGTGAAAAACTAGAGGTTCTTGACCCTGGTTCTGTTGACTGATTTAAGTATTATCTAAACGACAGGAAACAAATTGTCGTTACAAATAATATCGAATCAGCATCCTTGCCGATAACCTGTGGAGTCCTACGGGGGAGTATCCTAGGACCATTGACCTTCCTGTGTTATGTAAAGGACATGTCCATTGGTGTTAATTTTAAAAACTCTTGTATGCAGACAACAGTGGCCTTTTAGTGTCAGATAAATATCCAAAGGAAATACTTTAAAGGTTGTCATTTGAACAGGTGCCAGGCAAACAATGGCTTAAAGACAACAAGTTATCACAACATCTGAACCGTTACCCCAGAGAAGATACTTTGGGCTGCCTGACTCTTGACTATCTGGGGAATTAATTGTAGAGAATAAAGTAAATAAAAGAAGTGTTTATATAAATTTTCTTTTTGTAACACCAGATGTCTCTGTTGAGCGCTGATAAAAAGCAATTGAGAATATTCCAGTTCATCATGGTACTTTGCCTCAACACAGCCATGCAGACCACAAAGTATTCAAAACAACACAGTGAGGTTTCTTCTGGTCACAAACACCGGACATGTCAAGTGAGACAGGTAGTGAAGCAGTCGAGGCTAAATTACACCAATAAATAAATAAAACATTTTCCTTAACTTCATTGAAACTAGTATTTTTATCAAACAGCTCAAAGCTAAAAACTAAAACACACACAGCCGATGAAGCAACAGCAAGACGAGAAACAAGAGATTTTCTATATTACAAATTATAAAATGTTGTACTGTCGATGCGGATATCCTGCTCAGTGCTGTGCTTAGTCAACATATTATCAAACTCTTTCAAGTTGATTTATTATTATTAATTAGTAACAAAGACGAAGCAAAGGTCTCTACCGGAAATTAACATCTGATGTATTTGCCAGCTCCTTGGTCCAACTGTCTATACCATTGTTTGTATACCAGCACTGCCGACGTGTACTGGAGATTGTATACCTGCATTGTCTATATACATGCTGAACTGTATACCTACATTGTTTATATACATAATATGCTGAACTAACTACACACACACACACACACACACACACACACACCAAAACCGTAGTCATGCACATCAATACCGCCACCACTCCAGTGCAAGCTCCAGCAGTTACAGTGGGTGCCCATCCTCTCCAGTTAGTGCAGTCTGCCAAACTCCTCGGTGTAACTATAGACCACAAACTGGACTGGAAAGTCCATGTAAACAACACTATCAAGGCAGCCTCGTACCGACTCTACATGCTACGACGACTCAGGTCACTTGGGGCACCCACGCCAGAGCTGAGGACCATCTACAACGCATTTATTCTCCCAAAATTAACGTATGCGTCACCAGCCTGGTCGTCTTCTCTCAACTCTACCCAACATCGTCAGCTGGAGAAGGTACAGAAGAGGGCCTGCAGAATCACGCTCGGCACAGACTACTCCGGGTACAACAGATTTTTACAGATTGCCCCGGAGGGGGCTAGTTTATTGGGCACCCGCTTACATTCTGTGCAAGGTGAAGCGCAGAAGCGTTTACAGTGCCCAACTGGGAAGCATGCGGAGTTCATGCTTGCCTTTATGACTCATGCATTGAGGGCGTAAAAGGCCTGAAGGGTCATGGGTTTTGTCAGCAAGTTACATAAAGTGACAATGATGAGTGTGTGGGGGGAAAATTCCCGGTACAATTTATCTGTTTATGGCAAAGTGTGGCAGGTCCCTAATAATGTCAAGTGCCAGGCCTGTCACTAGGAGGAGGGATATCTGGTCAGGGAGGGAAGAGGTGCCACCCCTGTAGGGGGAGGTCATAGGGCAAATGAGGATGTGGTGAAAGAGGGTGTGAGAGTCTGTTGACCACAAAGTTTACAAACAGTGCGGCCAGGCTCAGGGTTGCCAATGTACTAGGCGTGGCGAAGTACAGTGGGGGTGGAGGTGATATGGTGTGGTGGGGCAGGTACAGTAGGGGTGGAGGGAGGCACATAGGCATTGACAACATTGAGGGACACACCTTTTAGTGTGATTGTGAAGGTGTGTTCGTCGACATGTCGGTGGGGTACAGGTAGCCGGGGGTGGTGTCCTCAGGTCCAGGTAGCCCTGGTGGAGACAGCTCAGACACGGGCGCGGCTTGCGGTGGGTGGTGGACAGGTTGAGGCACCAAGTGTTGTGAGGATGGGGCAGGACTTCGCTCGGGGGCAGCAGGACACACCAGGGCAGGCCCGGTAGGCACTACACCAGTAGTGAAGGCCGCCGGCGGTGGAGTAGGCCGTGAGCAGGGGGGGCTCTCAGGGGGACCAACAGCTTGTGTCAAACCAGCAGAGAGGAGTGACTGGGTGGCAACAGAGGGCAGGAGTTGGTGGGAGATGGTGGTACAGAGTGTAGCGAAGAGTTTTTCAATACGGTTGGTAAATTCTTGGAAGAGGGATATGATCTGTGTCATGTCACTGGCGGGGGGTTGTGGGGGGGCACCGGTGGGAGCGCAAGGCCTGACAGCCTCAGAGTAGAGACGAGGAGGAGGCCCAGTAGTAGTTGAGTTAGGAGACGGCCGGGACTGCTGTGTTGTAGCCAGATGAGGCCAGGCAGAGGCAGGTGTTGTTGAAGAAGGCATTGCTGGAGACACAGGGTACACAGGGGGGTGTGGCCCGGAAGACTGGGGGGGGCGTTGTGGTAGACTTGGCCTTCGGGGAGGCTTTTCCCCTGGGACAGACGGGCGATTGGGGCATTGCCGTGA